CCCTGCTGCTGCATCATCTGCTGCTGCTGGAGCATCATCTCATTGAGGTCGACGCTGCCCACGTCATCTTCCTCATCTTCCTCCTCCTCCTCCTCGTCCCCATAGCCGCCGCCGCCCTCCAGTCCGTCCATTCCGTTCAGTCCGACCAGCCCGTCCATGACGCCGCCCATCTGCGGGTCCATCCCGTCCATCTCCTCCGCCTTCAGGTACTGCTGCTGCGTCATCGCCCGCTGCATGGCCACGGTGGCGGCCGCCGCCCCGTTCATGCCCATCTCGTCCTCCATCTCATCCTCCTCCTCCTCCTCCTCCCCGCCCATCATCTGCTGCTGCTGCTGTCCGGGAACGCCGGGCACCCTCATGGAGGCCTGTCTGACGATCATCATCGCCTGGCTGGTGATCTCCTTCTCGAGGAGGAGGATGTGCGTGTCGAGGTGCTTGCGCAGGGCGGCCGCCGTGCTGCACACCTGGTGGCAGTCCGTCCAGCCGCAGGGCAGCGACCCGTGCACCACCGTCATCGTGTGCTGACGGAGCAGCGCCTGGCTGCTGAAGCTCGCCCGGCAGTGGGCGCACTTGAAGGGCAGCGACTGCGGCGGCTGCTTCCGCCGCTGGTCAAACTGCTGCTGCTGGTGCTGCTGCTGTTGAAATTGCTGCTGCAGCTGTTGTTGTTGTTGCTGCCTTGCCAGCGCCGCCGACTTGTTGGCCGACGACATCTGCTGCTGCTTCATCATTCGCTGACCACCTAGAAGACGCTGCTGGCCCTGCTGTTGGTTGTAGTGCTGGCCCTGCTGTTGAAGTCGTTTCTGCTGCTGAAGGTGCAGTTGTTGTTGTTGTTGTTGCTGTTGCAGTTGTCTGTTGGCTCGTTGCTGCTGTTGATGCTGCTGCTGCTGTTTGTACAGCGCCTGCACTTCCTTCGCCTTCTGGCTCTGATACCGGTACCCGGTGTTGAGGTTGTTGTTGGCCACCTTGCTCACCAGACTCTGGTAGGTGCCGTTACGCTGCAGCTGAGGCGGTGGCTGTTGCTGCTGCTGCTGTTGCTGCTGCTGTTGATGCAATGCTGAGCTCGTAGCGGACGACGTCGAGGTGCTTGCAGCACTGGCGGCTGAAGTCATGTTCACAGCAACGAGTCCTCCGAGGACTGCTGGTCGACGTTGCGGTTTAGAGTAGACAGTGAGAAGAAGAAGCACGAGACGAGAGGAAGGATCTATAATTAAGAAGAGGAGAGAGAAGAGAAAAGAAAAAGGTAACAATTAATCATCGGAAGAAGAAGGATCATCATCATCTAAAAAATATCATGTTTTGTTGTTGAATGCGGTAATTGCACGTAGAGAAGTAAGAGAATGTGCAGCTAAAGAGAAAAGAAGAAACGTAGAAACACAACAGCAAGAAACGCAAAAAGTGATAAGTCATCAATCAACACTGGGCGCACGCAGGCGGCGGTTGTAGTAGAGCACAAAGAAGACCTGGAGCAGGCCAAGAAATAAGGTAAGACAAACAAACACTCACTAAAACTTGGAACACCACCATTGTTGAGGTGAAGGGGAAGAAGAAGAAGTTCTACAAAGTTCAGATCACAACAGAAAAAACACCTCTGCTTCAAAACGCACAACAGAGCAGCAGCTCACTGGGAAAAAAGTGAAAAAGGGGAGTGTCCCTCTCGCGCAGACTCAGCAGAGGCGGGGCAAAGAGGGAAGACACAGTAAGGACACGCACACTTTCAAACACAATTTTGGCGCCAAAGTGCAAGTCCACAACACAATCGGCTTAAAAACTGATAATAAAAATCGATGAAACAAGAACATCAAAATCAGAAATAACCACAGTGGGCAGCTGCTAAAAGCACCGGCATGCCGCGCAGAAGTAGTATTCATCAACCAGCAAAAACAAAGGGGAAAAAAGACAGAAAGTTCATCACTTTGGCAACCGTGGTCGCCGCCGCCGACACGCCGAGTGAAGCGCTGCTCTTCTACTACTACTGCTGCAGAAGCAGCACTTGAGTGGCCAACACACACACACCGCCGCACTGCTGTGCTCTGTGTGTTGCGGCGAATACGCCCAACAGCTCTCGACAACACAGAGGCAGCAGCAGCAGCATTTCTTGTTCAGCCGTAGCACTGCCACTGAAAGCAAGTGTGCCTTCTTTCTTGTGTGCGAGTGAATGAGCAGTCAGTCTATCGTTCAGTGTGCAAAGAGCATGCTGGCGGCAGCTACGCCCAACACACTNTGCAGAAGCAGCACTTGAGTGGCCAACACACACACACCGCCGCACTGCTGTGCTCTGTGTGTTGCGGCGAATACGCCCAACAGCTCTCGACAACACAGAGGCAGCAGCAGCAGCATTTCTTGTTCAGCCGTAGCACTGCCACTGAAAGCAAGTGTGCCTTCTTTCTTGTGTGCGAGTGAATGAGCAGTCAGTCTATCGTTCAGTGTGCAAAGAGCATGCTGGCGGCAGCTACGCCCAACACACTCTGTGTTCTCCCTTCAGAGAGTGGCAACAACCTACCAACAACGGCGGCAGCAGCAGCAGCTCCCCATCCGTGGTCGTCGTCGACGACCTACCGAACAACAACAACTCTCCACTCGCCTAATCGATCGCCAGCACTGCTGCTCCTGCCAACCAACACACACTGCAGGCGGCAGAAGTAGTAGTCACAGCGGCAGCGGCGCCACAAAACTTGCGGAAAAAGTAGTAGTATTCGGCAGCATTTGCCGTTGATGAAGTCTACTGCTGATGCTGATGATGCTGATGACTCTGCAGCGAGAAGAGCCACTCCTACTTTGGTAGAAGCAGCAGCAGCAATTAGTCAGGTAACATTTTGGGTAAATGCCACAAGACACCAAAGAGTGAGTGAGAGAATTGTGTGGAGAGGCTCGAAAAACTCTCCCATCTTCACTTCACAGTTAATTCAACAATTAGTCAAAATGTGCTCTTCCTTCGGTTAGCAGCGCAACTTCGGTGACAATTACACCTCGGCCACCTCAATTATGNGAAGTGAGAGAATTGTGTGGAGAGGCTCGAGAAACTCTCCCATCTTCACTTCACAGTTAACAGTTCAACAATTAGTCAAAATGTGCTCTTCCTTCGGTTAGCTGCGGTGACAATTACACCTCAATTTCCTCCAAATTTCTGCCACCTCAATTACGGCGGCGCCATTCACAAAGTGACAAACACAGCTACAAATACACAATGAAAAGCCACCGCCCCAAAAATGGCTTCATCATTAGTGCTCACCAAGAAAAACACAAGTGTCGCGTAGGAGAAGAAGAAGACTCAGCAACAACAGCAGACACACAAATAGAATAAGAAAAAAGGTGAGTCAGGAGGAAAAGGTTGGCTGGCAAGTGAAAAGCCTGAAATGCAAAGAAGAAGAAGTAAAAATGGTTCTGACGGCGTGCGGCACGAAATAACTACACAGCAACACCCAGGCGTCTTCCCTACCACCACCACCACCACCACTAATTGAGCGTGAACTGGCGGCAGGAGCAGGCAATGTGACAAACACAGAAAAAAGTACCGGTGTGCCTGCCTGTATTTTCCTGCCTTTCTGCCTGTCTGAGTGTCACACCCAGTGTATGACGCAAGATGGCCGTCGATAGAGTGCCAGTGTGATAGTCCGAGGGCGTGATGCGCACACAATGCACTCACAAGTCTGCCCAATGTGTCATATGACCAAAAGAGAAGATAGACAGCAACAGCAGCAGCAAATAGTAAATGGTAGTAATGGCAGAGACACACCCAGGGCAGATTAATGNACACTCACACACAATGCACACACAAGTCTGCCCAATGTGTCATATGACCAAAAGAGAAGATAGACAGCAACAGCAGCAGCAAATAGTAAATGGTAGTAATGGCAGAGACACACCCAGGGCAGATTAATGTCGAAATAAAATAAAATTGAGCACTGCACTCGGCACTTTANGCACACAATGCACTCACAAGTCTGCCCAATGTGTCATATGACCAAAAGAGAAGATAGACAGCAACAGCAGCAGCAAATAGTAAATGGTAGTAATGGCAGAGACACACCCAGGGCAGATTAATGTCGAAATAAAATAACAAAATTGAGCACTGCACTCGGCACTTTAAAATGTCATCAGCAGGAGTTTTGGCGAAAATCGGAAAATCTCTCTCCACTGTGCAGCCCAAAAGCAAGCAAAGTAGCCCAGTGTGCACCCAAAGTAAACTTTGGCGATTCCGTTTTGAAAAGGAAGATCAAAATAAAATCATTGACGGTGTGTGTGTGATTCTGAAAAAGAAAAGAAGACTGCCTGTACTGAAAGTGCACTGCTCACCGGTTGCTAGGCTGGCNAATTGAGCACTGCACTCGGCACTTTAAAATGTTAAGGAGTTTCAGACTCTAAAAATCTCTCTCCACTGTGCAGCCCAAAAAGCAATCAAAGAAGTCCAGTGTGCACCCAAAGTAAACTTTGGCGATTCCGTTTTGAAAAGGAAGATCAAAATAAAATCATTGACAGTGTTTGTATGTGATTCTGAAAAAGAAAAGAAGTCTGCCTGTACTGAAAGTGCACTGCTCACCGGTTGCTAGGCTGGCTCTTTCCAATCATCATCATCCTCCTTTTTCTCTGCCTCCCTGCTGTCAGCTGCCCAACTGCAGAAGAAAGGGAGACAAAATGAGGGGAAACGGCAACCGCCTAATTGGATGCGGATATTGCCCAACACATCTCAATCTTGTGCTAGGGCAGGCTCAGTGCGCTCACTACACACACATAAAGTACTGATCATCGATAGGAAATCCACATACAATTGGACAGCCAAGAAACAACAGGAGCAAGGAGTAGAGATCACCAAGATGAAAACAGCAGTGCCGAATGAAACAAAAAAACTGTGGGCAGCGGGGAAGAAAGATGGCGAGGGAGATGCCCACTTGGCAGAGAAGAAGAACTGCTCACAAATAGTCACAGTTTACTTTTTTTGTTTTCATTTCACGAGCTGCTGCTGCTGCTGATGATGAAGAGGAACAACAACAACATGCAACTCATGCGGGGGAAATCACCGGCGCCACCACCATCATGAGAAGATAGGAGGACAGCAGCAGAGACAGACAAAGAGGAAGGCNCACATCTCAATCTTGTGCTAGGGCAGGCTCAGTGCGCTCAGTACTGATCATCGATAGGATTTCCACATACAATTGGACAGCCGAGAAACAACAGGAGCAAAAAGTAGAGATCACCCAGATGAATTCAGCAGTATAAAAAAACAACAAAAAACTGTGGGCAGCGGGGAAGAAAGATGGCGAGGGAGATGCCCACCGCTTGGCAGGGAAGAAGAACTGGCAAAACTGTCTTTACAAATAGTCACAGTTTACTTTTTTTTGTTTTCATTTCACGAGCTGCTGCTGTTGATGAAGAGGAACAACAACAACAGGCAACTCATGCGGGGGAAATCACCGGCGCCACCATCATCATGAGAAGATAGGAGGACAGCAGCAGAGACAGACAAAGAGGAAGGCCAACAATGGGGGTGACCGATGGCGGTGGCGGTGGTGGGAAGGAAAGAGAACAGGAGTCAAACACATTGTGAGAGGGGGTACACTCCACCACCACCACCACCACCAATGCTCTCATATAGCTCAGAGCAGTCAACGCGGCTGGAGCAAAGAGTGAGGCAAGGGAAGGCAAGTTTAGTCGTCGGCGACGTAGGACAATAGGAAGAGACCGCTGCCACATCGAGGCGCCAAATAAAGTGAGTGTGTGTGTGCCTGCGAGCAGTATCACACCACCAAACACAACTCATCCACCCTGCTCTGCCTGCCTGCACCTTTGTCAGGAAAGAAGGAAAAAAAGAAAAAGAGAAAAGGCAGCAAGAGAGAGAGAGGTGTGGCCAGGCAGTCAGCGACTGCGACTGCCTGCCACACAACGTCGGCACCAACGCCCAACCACTGGCGCCATGGGCAACAGAGAAAGAAGAAAGGGAAAAATAACAGAGTGGCTGCCCAGGATGAAGACGAAGACGAAGACGGTGGCGGCCACTACCACCGCCACTAAAATGGCCTGACATTTCAATGGCAGCCCAGAAGAGCACTGACAGAAGAGCTAACGAATGAATGAAGGTACAACAAAAACAAAAGGCACT